TGGCTTCCTAAAAACGCTGCAGGATTTCTCAAACATGCATGAATGAGTCAAAGCAAGGCTTTGGGCATGCTTTTTATGAGAGTATAACATTATAACATGACATAAAACTCAAAAAAGTTGATTTTACATGATATTGCCCCTTTAATGTAGAAATTTAAACTGGTGTTGATTTTCTACCAATGTTGCTCATTCACATCTAAACAATGTGGTAATCTCCTCCAGCAAAGGTTATTTGGAAATCTTACCTGCTAATTGTAGCATGAATAGAGCTCCTGTAATTAATGAAGGTGTTATAGGTAAAGAAAAAAAGATGAGGAGTAAAAAAAAAAAAAAAACACATTATAGCATCTCAGATTAGAAGACCATAAATCACACTGAGGTAGGGGGCATGCTGAGCCAGTGGGAAGGTTGAGTCCCTCTCTGTGTCTTTGAACGTGGAAGAAAAACAAAATAATTAATAACATATATAAGTGCCATGGATCAAATTAATGAGCCAAATCTGATCACCGTGTCAGCGCTATCTTAATGCTGCTTTCATGCTTGCCAACTTTGATCATCTATGGCAAGTTGCACAACAGGTGTACATGATTTTAATAGGTAATGGTTATTGCTGGGTCTGATCTGATAACATATGGGTAAGATAGTGTCAGAGTTGGGTGAATGAAGCCACTGTTGGGACAGCGGTGATGACTAAACAGAGGGATTGAGTAAAAAAAACTAAACTAAACAGGGTTGTTTCAGCTGCTGAACTCCTGCCAGAATGCATCATCTGTTTAATCAAATATGTGAAAGTGTAAATTCCCAATATTCTCTCTAATATCAGTACTGTTTTTGTACCATATATTCAAGTAAAATAGTAAAAACATGGTTTCACCTCAAACCAACTTGATTCAAAATGCTGCATGTATAGAACTATTTGACAAATTACAGTTTTATTTCTCTATAGCGACAAAAGTTTTTGCAAATATGAATTATTAGGACCCCCGCACATAAGCGGGAGTCATATTGTTTGCGTARGGTTTATTTATTTATTTTTACTTTTTTTCAGTGATTTTTGGTCAACCGTAGCACAAAAAAACAGCTGCACCAATCAACATGAAATTTGGCAGGACTGTAGATGAGTCCGACCTACACTGCGCCAGCCAATGGTTTTACGATAGACCCCATATTTGAGGAGGGGGCACCATCCAAAGAGGGGGTGTCTGGACATGCAAAAATGCTTATAACTAGAGCTATTATTTAATTTGTCTTGTTGGTTACGATAATACATAAATATTTGGTCTAAATCCTAATTTTATGTAATTTTAATGAGGATTTTTTAATGTCATTTAAAAAAAAAACCTCAAATAGTATTTGAATATTGAGATTTCCCAGCTGGAAAGAAACAAAAGCTTTGATAGCTCACAGGGATAATCAAAACATTTTAAGGCGTTTTTCCTCAAAATCTTTTTTTTAATTAATTAATTTATTTTTTGTTGCTAATGCTCAAAAAAGTGCTTCAGAAATTTTTTTGGATAATAATATTTCAGATAGTTCATTGAAACGATACATTGATAACACATTTATTTGTTATATTTTGACAAAATGTAACTTTTGCAAGTGTTTTAATCAAAACACTATCTGCCCATTTCTCCACATACAACTTTTAGACTTAATCCTCATTTCGATGTGATGGGTCYCATAAAACCCCATACTATCAATTTATTAGCGTATGGTAAACTTTGCTGCAAGAGGAAAGCCAGAACCAGCATGCGATTACAGGTTTCCAACAGGACATTTAAGATAATGGTTGATTTGACTGCAAGCAGGTCAGGGTACCTCTGACATGGCGTGTGACACAAACTCCTCATGATGCTGCGCCGTGCCATTATCTGCAGCAATTTCAATCCTACATGACCCCCCTTGTTTGCCAACAGGCACGCTGAAGCTGTAAAGAGAGAAAACACACAGAGCAGGGTTAGTAAGATAGGGGCGCTCGCCGCGCTCCACAATACCTGAGACTCCCAATAAATCCAGCAAAGCATGAAATATTCTGATGGGGAGACAGACAGAGCAGTCACAGTAATGGAGCTGCTAATGTGACCACTGAGAATATACCATAAACTGGCTAGGTATATATTACACACAGTTTTATGAGATTTTTTTATTTTTATTTTTTAAATGCAATGGCGTATTGGCTTGAAAGCAGTGGTGCGTTTGTATCGCTCCCTATCAGCCAAAACCCTGGGGAGACAACAAAAACAGAGCATGGCTTCCACTGTAAAATTTAAATAAAATAAAKGCCAGAAATAGGCTTCTTGCTCAGCGCTGCGGTGATTTCTTTAAGTTGTTGTGCTCCTCAGAAAACAGGGAAATTTACATAAAAATGCAATGCAGCCAGTAAAGTCAGAAAAGATAAAAGGTAGGCTGAGAGAAGCAGTCATTACCAGCTCAATTTAAATGATCAAGCTATAGTAAATGACGAGCATTAGCATGCCACATAAAACAACAGTTAAATTAACAGTACTAAAAAACAACAACAACAACAATAAATAAACGTATCAGCCTTGCACAGGTACACAAAACTGATGCAAGTTCTGATTATGTCACTCAGGATTAATTAATAATAAAAAAACGAGGGCACAAAGTAGATATACATTATAACCCTAATGAGAAGAAAGATAATTTTATCATTTGACCCTCTGTGCTTCTCTGGGGAAATACACAGTTGTGCTAGTCATTAATGTTGCAGTGTTAAGTAGCTGGTCTACTTGTGTCAAATTCCAACGTTGGCAAAGTCAAGTGATTCCTTTTCTCCAGTGTTTCACTGGTTCTTATGTTGGCTTTACGCAAACAAGGTTGCACACCTTTTATCAGGCACGTAAACAGAATTCTGTTGAGAAGTAATCAACATGATGCATGTTCACTGCACCGGTTTATCCAATATCTGCGGGTGAAACGTGACGTCTAACTATTATGTCACTGAGCTGCTAATTTGATTTGGCAAAATGTATTCGTCCATTCATTGTGACTGTACCAGTGTTTATGAGGACAAAAAAACCCTCAAATGTGTGCTTTAATAGCCAGATGGAAACAATAAGGGAAATCGTCGTCCTGTTAATTTGAAGCAGCCTTCCAGGATGCCTTCCTCAGGCAATCCCACGCTCACGACTTCAGGTAGAACTAATTACAGGTATGGAAATCACAGGAGCTCCTTTGTACACATATACGTGTGCGCATATGAGCACGTATACACAGACACACTTGAGAACAGGAACGTGGACGGCACCTTAATGTCCACAGAAACMAGAGAAGAGACCTATTACTATATCCTCAGGGTGCCTGGTGGGTTTCTGAGGTCATTCTCTACACATTTGCATAACGGCAACTGATTAGTGAGAGATTTCAGTAAATTACATTCCCCAACTGTTTATTTTTCCYTGGCACAATAATATTACAATGTCCAAATGAAATAAGTGAAATGATCTGATATTGCAGCAAAAACACTGTGWCAAAGTGTGACATCACATAATAAAATTATCTGTTCCTGAAGGCCTTTGAGGCACACTTTGTTAGCACAGTGGCTTTTTTTTCTCATTTTCTTAGACTGCTAATGGTGCAATTTCTGTCCTTGTGAGACGAGGGGATCATGGTCACTACGCAAACAGGATGATGTTACTTGATGAGCTCTTGTGAGTGTATTATGGTCCTGTTCAGCTAACTAGTCATGRATGCCTTAATGAAAACACAACTATTTAAATCTGGATCAAAATCAAGTCTTATCTTAACCCCAAATGTTTTTTTTTAATATTTTAGTGGAATAAAATTAATMACATACTTGAGAACATTTTCTAGTATTATAGCAATTCATTTGGCAGCACAATTTTTCTACAAATTACAGCAAATCCTGTTATGTAGTGATGTTTCACACACATTTATTAGGGGTGCAACGATACCAAAAATTCACGATTTGMTTCAGTTCAATACTTRAGTCTCACGGTTCAATATTTTTTCGATACAAAAAAGAGAAATGTCCATGCCCTTTTTAACTTGTAATGTATTTAAATTAATTAGGAACATTTGTTTAACCTCAAAAGTACAGTTTTTAAATTAAATGTTGCTGAAACAGCAAGTTTCTCAGTGGATCTGCACTCGACAGTGCAGCCTAGGTGGAGTAGTCGAACACAGATCAACTGATCCTTCAACACAGAGCATCTTCAGAAGACAAGTTGATAAAATAAATGTTAAAAATCTGTATTGTTCGATACAAGTGTGTATTGAACCTAAAGCACTGTATTGAACACCCCTAACATTTATATGGCGCAGTATGGGGGCCAAAACTAAAACTATTGTGCAATCYGTGGTTGCTACATTCTTGTAGCAGAAGTTTATATCTTTTCCTAAGCCAGCTACTGATCTGATTAACGAMAGGCCGGCGGCACCGGTAGTTCAAATTTGTTTTATGTTTAATATTTATTATTGACATCATGTTGAARGGTAAATTCTGTCCAACACCTGTCAGTGCATGTCGCTTATAAGTTTTGTATGGTAACCCTTTTTGTTGGGCCAGCTGCTCTGTTACGTGTGCTGGCCAATCATTAATCAGATCAATATTTGGCTTTGGAGTAGAAATAGCCTCCTGCTACAAGGATGTAGTAACCGCTGCTTGCACAAAAGTCTGAATTTTGGCCCTCATCCCATGCCATACATTTACAGTAATTTTAAGTGGCTCAGCTTTTCTAGCATTTATGGTAGTTTCCACCTGTGGCCCAAGGTAAGAAGCTGTCAGCCCAATATAAGATATTTTATTGATTTATAATGAGTGTTATATGCACTTCACAAATACATTGAGATATGTTTTTAGAGGATTTCATGTGATGACTTTGTCTATATTATTGTGATTTATATTGTGCTTTTAGAAGCTTCAACAAGTCTATTTAGTTAGTACATGCCTTGGACCAAATATGCAACATAAAGAAATCTGGCAAGGAAGTCTTTAAAAATCATTTTGGAATCATTTCATAACTTGACTTTTTTTTTTCATCAGAACAGAGAATTTTACTTGAAGATGACTACTTTAATGCTTTGCATCAATATTAACACATAAAAAGCACAAAAATAGTGTCTTTTAAAATATATGAATGAATCAGAAATAAAAAGAGGCTGTGATGTTTGTGATGTAGAGATTAAATAACGTGTAATTTCTTAAGAACCCTTCACTGCTTAGTCTCAAAAGATCAATAAAAACAGCACCAGCTTGAGGTAAATAAAAACATAAATAATGGATTTTTGTCCTAAACACAAAAAAAAAAAAAAAATCACCATATGTTGGTAATCTTTTTAACTCAATCATCATTTATGCATTTCTTCATCAGGCTAATGATCTAATCACAAGCGATTTGTCATCTCTAACATATCCCTTTAGACTGTCTGGTGTGTGACAAATCTAGGGCATCACCATTATCTGAACTTTCCTGAGGATAACCGCTGAAATATTACCTGCAATGTTAGGGGACTCTGCAAAAATATTTTCAGCGCCGCACCTTTACACAAAGGTATTTGTTAAAGCCGAGGCGGCTGCTTGTCTTCATCATCGAACGTGCCTCTTTCACAGCTCCCCGCAGAAGATTAGCAATGAGGGAGGATCATCATTAAAATATTACTGCTGCATAAAACATCTGAAAGTATTGGCAACAGATGGCAGTAAAACATCGTGCACCACACTTGGTGCCCTTGCAACATTTTTTCTCTGACTGATGGGCTGAATGTGACACGTTTTTCAACAGCTTACTAGTCTAACAATATTTTWKKWTRRTWAAYYAAAAAAAATCAAGTGATTATTCGGAACACAGAGTGGTGAATTTGTAATTTGTGAGTAATTTTGTAATTTAGAGTCAAGAGACTGTTCGTTCTGCATGCAGAGAGTCTGCTCAGTGGAGTTGAACATCTACGAGCAGATAGAATTAGTGGCTCATATGTTAGACACATATAGAGAAAACAAGTACCACCTGTTACTGTGATATTAGTGTTAGCACAACAGGTTGCAGAGTTGTTTCATATAAGGCAGAAAAATAAGACAATAATCCCCCCCAATATGGTTTATATTTAATAACTGTCATATCACACCACAACATCTACTGCACAGGGGGTATATAGCTTTCAARGAGTGCAGCAAACCTTGTATTTGGCCATCGTCTGCACCTAAAGTGGATGCAATGCCTACTCTGACAATGGTGCAGTGACTTCCTCACACGCAGCACTGCAGCACTTGCTGCATAATTTGTGCTGTGACCGGCAAGCCTCGATTAATTTGGGCAGCCTGTGTTCTATCATTATATCTCTGGTAACACAATTAAACAGTGCATGGCAAAGCTTCTGGCATTGTGGGGGTCTCAAAAGAGACTCCAAGAGAGCAGGCAGGGCTACCACTTGCTTCTTCGATAGGTCTTTTATGGAGAGRACAACATTAAATACAGCGTGACCGATAGACATGGCATGCCTCAGATCTGGCACAGTGTGGAGAGGGTCTGAATTTGAAAACTAAATTGTTTTGTGTTGAGATCTCTCCTTTTTTTAAAGTGCATATCCGATTTCACATTTAGACTAATAAATGTTTTCTTTTTTAATTTCCCTGCAATTAAAACAAAGTGGGGAAGTGTCAAGGATGATTAAGGATGTGTTATTACTCAGAGATGCAAAGTAATCACTGGCTGAAAACCAAATGGAAGATGGTCTTTACAAGTTTTTTTTTATATAAACAAAAGATCTGTAGGAGTTAATTTACTTTGAATTACTAATAATCTTCATATTCAAATACGCATTAAAATCAGTGCCAACAAATGGGCACAAAAGAAGCCTCTCAGCTCTTTAGTAAATGCTTGTTTTTGACACAAACAGGTGCTTCAGAACTGGGCTGGACTTGGACTCAGACAGCTCAGTTTCTGTGAC